GTTCGTGTAACTGAGCTTGAAGATGTTGTCCAACAGTTTTGCCGTAAACGCTGTCGCTCGGTCAGTGATGATGAATGACGGAGCACCATGACGAAGCACAATGCGGTGCATGAAAAACTGGGCAACTTGAGATGCTGTACCGCGTGGCAATGGCTTCGTTTCAGCGTAACGCGTCAAGTAATCAGTTGCGACGATTATCCACTTGTTTCCGGTGTCAGACAAAGGAAGCGGTCCAAGAAGGTCCATCCCAACTTGGTCAAACGGAGTATGCGGTGGATCGATGGGTTGTAAGAGGGCTGCAGGCTTTACATGTGGTGACTTGCAACGCTGACATTCGCGGCATCCTTTCACGTAGCGTTTGACACAAGCTGCGAGGTTCGGCCAGAAATATAGCCGTCAAACCCGGTCGAGCGTCCGTGAGTATGCCAGATCGCCGGATGTCGGCTCATCGTGGCAGGCTAATAGGATGTCATCACGAAGGTCTTGAGGGACGACTAGAAGATAAGATCTGCTGCCAACACCAGTGTTTTTCTTGTATAATATGTCATGTCATAAGCAAAATGACGGCAACGTACGGGAAAGTTGACGAGGAACAGACGCGGTGCTGCCTTCTAAATGATCGATAATGGGTCTTAACTCGGGGTCTGCTCGTTGCTTACTGAGGAGGTCCGCCCCACTGAGAGTCCCCAGGAAGGCGCTGTCGTCTTCTACAGCTGTATGGTCGGATTCCAAAGGTGCTCGTGATAGCGTGTCGGCGTCTTCATGCTTTCTACCTGACTTGTATACAATGGTGACATCGAACTCCTGAAGGCGCAGACTCCATCGTGCTAATTGCCCAGAGGGGTCTCGGAGGTTACCCAACCAACATAAAGCGTGGTGATCACTCACAACTTTGAATGGATGCCCATATAGATAAGGTCTGAACTTTGTAATCGCGCATATTACCGCGAGACATTCCTTCTCTGATGTTGAATAGTTGGTTTCGGCACGTGATAGAGTGCGGCTCGCGTAGGCAATCACACGTTCGATCCCATCTTGTGTTTGCAGAAATATCTGCTAGACTAATGTTGCTTGCGTCAGTGCGCACCTCTGTGTCAGCGTCCTCATTGAAATGACCGAGTACAGGAGGGGAAGACAATCGATGTTGCAGTTCCGAAAAGGCAGTCGCTTGTCTGTCAGTCTACTGAAATGGGGTGTCGTCACGTGTAAGTTTAATAAGGGGCTCCGCAACCCTAGAGAAGTTTTCAGTGAAGCGGCGATAGTATGCGCAGAGCCCTAGAAACCGCCGAAGACTTTTTTTGTCTGTCGGAGCTGGAAAAGTGGCCACAGCGGCAGTCTTCTCGGGACCGGGCCGAACGCCTGCATCGCTCACAATGTGACCCAGGAACTTCAGTTTATTGTAGACGAAACGGCACTTCTCTGGCTTGAGGGTAAGGTCTGCGGATCGTATGGCTTCAAAAACACTCTGAAGGCAACGAAGGTGCTCGTCAAACGTTTTTGAAAAGACAACGACATCATCTAGCTAGGCGAGGCAACGTTTGCACTTGAGGTCAGCGAGAACGGTATCCATCATTCGTTGGAATGTGGCCGGAGCGGAACAGAGGCCGAATGAGAGCACTCGGAATTCATACAGGCCGTCAGGAGTTACAAAAGCCGTTTTTTCGCGATCGCGTTCAACGACTTCAATTTGCCAATAACCACTTTTGAGGTCGATTGAGGAAAAGTACGTTGCTCACCCCAGCCTGTCAACAGAATCGTCCACTCGAGGCAACGGGTACGCGTCTTGCTTTGTGACGTTATTCAGCTTCCTATAATCGACACAAAAGTGAAGTGTACCATCCTTCTTCTTTACAAGGACCAATGGCGATGACCAAGGGCTGCTTGATGGCTGTATTACACCGTCTTGAAGCATTTCCTTCACTTGCTTTTGAATCGCGCGTCGTTCGGTTGGTGAAACGCGGTAAGGCTGTTGCCGTATAGAGTGCGCGTCGCCGTAGGTGATAATACGGTGTTTGGTAATCGGTGTTTGGTGGATTGTCGATGAACGTGCAAAAAAAAGCGACGAATTCTATTAACAGGTCGTTAAGCCTTCGTTTGTTTTCATCAGAAAGCGTTGAATTTATGTCAACGCCCCGGAGAGGTGATTCGGCATTATCGGTTGCCTCGGCACCAAAACACTCAGTCACAATAATTACTGGGTAGGCATAGGCGATGACAGTACCAGAGAAAAGGTGTCGGCGCTCGTAGCTGAAGTTCGTAACAATTACCTCGCAGTGGCCAGCCTGTAGGTCTACTAGGCTTCGTGCTACGCAGACGCTTTGGGAAAAGAGTAGGGATCGATTGCTCTCCGCCACCATTTCACCGTGTGCTAATTTGTTACCCGCCACTTGAACCATAACACTTGCGCGCGGTGGTATTGTCACAGCATCGCCAATAACCCGCAGACATACTCGATCGTGGCTGGGATTATGCTCTGGCGTGGCGCTTTTTGTTCAGAACGTGACGAGGCGTTGTCGAATGTCGATGATAGCACCGTACTCCCTCAGGAAGTCCATGCCCATGATCAGGTCTCGAGAACACTGATGGAGAACGCTCCAGCTGACAATGAAGGTCGAACCACGAATCTGTATTCGTGCTGTGCAAACGCCGAGTGGCATGACGATGTGCCCGCCAGCAGTACGAATTGGCCTGAGGTTCCAAGGCATTGTCACTTTTTTTAGGAGAGCAGCCTGTTTTTCACTCATTATAGAAAAATTCGCACCCCTGTCAACTAAAGCACTGACTGTGCGACCGTCGAGCAGCACTGGAATATCTAATGAAATCTTTGCGGAACCAGCTGGTGTCATCGTCGTCGGGGAATCGTCAGTTTGCGGAAACGTCAGTAGGAGGCCTTGAGCTTGTCCAGTATGAGCGGCCTCACCCCGAAGGTCGCTGTGGTTAGTTTTCCCGGCGCGGACTGGGTGACCGACCCTGCGCCACGCTCGAATAGGTGCGGCGATTAGGAGAAAATCACCGCGGCGACGTGGAGCGTGACTGGTGCAAGGATGACGAAGTTCCGCGCTGTTGAGCCACATACTCTTCAATTTCAGGGGGCCGCTGACCTAACCTGGGTGGTGGTGAGTTCGTCAAAAATCCGCGTAGTCCAAGTTGTCGGTAAGGACACTGCCGGTACAGGTGCCCAGCTTCACCACAGTGGAAGCAGAGAAGACGTCGATCAGGTGCACGCAAGACGTCTGATTTCCACAAGATCAGGCGAGGTGCGCTGTAATATGGCGCCGCTTGGACCATCTGCAGCATGGCTGGGGCCATGGTGGGATGCGGAATTGCAGGTGTTACAGGTTGCCGCAAAGCTTGAGCATACGACATGCGGGGGAAGTCACCGGGTGCTTGATAATCCCGCATGCAAGGCGGTTCTCTTAAGGCATGCTGGACTTCATCTCGGACAACGCTGGACAACGAAGAGGTAGGGGGCTGCGAGGGCACTGACAGCTTCTAGAGTTCTTCGCGGGATGACTGAACGTATGAGCTCTCGGAAAAAGTCCATTTGGCCACCGAAAGCTCCAAAGTAGTCCGTAGTTGAAGCGTTGACGTGCCGCTCGTATGACGGGGCCCAGTGCCTAAGAGTGCTTTCGATGGTAACGGCTTCGTGAGAAAATCTCACACAGTCTTGGGTGAACTGAGTACAAGTCCACCGAAAAGCTGCTCTTTTACCCCGCGCATGAGATACCGTACCTTCTTTTCTTCTGGCATGCCGGGGTCAGCTCGGTGGAAGAGACGCGTCATTTCCTCGACATACATCGCAACCCCTTCATTCGGCAGTTGTATGTGGGACTGCAGATCGCGCTCAGCTCTCTCCCGACGGTCAGGGCTGGCATCTGTTCCAAGACGTTGGCGTTTGAAGTCTTCCCATGATGTAAGAATACCTGCCCGGTTCTCGTACCAGACACGTGCGCCGTCCAAACGACTGACACGTGCGCCGTCCAACTGGTTGTGCACGGCAACGAACTCGTAATGAACAAGCCAATCTTCCAGATTCTCAAGTGCAGTGCTATGAAAAGGATTTAACGTTCACGGTGTGAGTAAGTTGCAATGGAGCGGCGTTGTGCCGTTCGTACCGGTTGGGTTTGTGTCGGCCGGGCTGATAGGAGCTGCCATGTTGTTTGCGAGCAGTCCAAACTCAAGGGATCGCCATCGGATTCTTCTGCTGGCGCGGTGCACAGGAGTGACCACCAGTACGACGCTTGTGTTCCTGCTATGTGGAGGGGTACGGTGCTTAGATTACCCAGCCCGTCCACCAGTTTGTCACGTACCAAGAGCCATAGAGAAGGGACAGGAACAGCGGGGCAGAAAGACACGAGCGTGTATCTTCAAAACAAGGCGCTAACCACACTTCTTCGTTCTCCTTGCCCTTTTCGGCTCACTAGGGCTTGCCAGCTCACAGCTCTAGGTGGCAATATGTATTAATATATATATATATATATATATATATATATATAGGTATGGGGTATGGCACAACGGGAGCGTTGTCAACAAGGATAAATAAATTTATTTCCCAACAGTTTCGGGAGAGGTCCTTCCTTCATTAGGGGATGACTTAAAACTCATCCCCTGATGAAGGGAGGACCCCTCCGGAAACTGTTGGGAAATAAATATATTTATCCTTGTTGACAACGCTGCCGTTGTGCCATATCCCATACCTTCACGAAGACTAACTGGCTCATTGAAATATTACTCCCACTGACATATATATATATATATATATATATATATATATATATATATATATATATATATATATATATATATATATATATATATATATATAGTCACAACCATGCCTTAATCAAATGAGCATGTTCGGTACAATTCGTTTCTCGTTTGCTTGGTCTAATAACCAAATATTTCTGATGTTGACTTTCTTGTTATACCTATATGAAGGAAATTAGTAGTGGGTAGGTTGTTACGTCACAGGTATCTTGATTTTTTGTTTCTTCGCACAGGTGGGAAAAATATTTAAATTACAGGCCAATATGGAAAACTAAAAATCCTTTGCTGCTGCAAGGCTTTGCACTTGAAAATCACAGTAAGTTTGAAGTCACTGTTTGCTATTTCAGGCACTCAGTAAACATCGCTCTATGGCTTCATAACCTGAAATAAAGCAGAATCAGATTTCCTTTTTTTTTCACCTTAAGCTACCGTAATTAAAGTTATATTTGATTATTTTTTTCGCCCACGTTTATCATGACATAGCAAAATAATATCAATAAACTGCTTCGAATAGCGATTGCGAGAAAATATAGAGTCTAGTTGTTTTCAGCAGGAATGAATGTTGTAATTACCATTCACTAGGTTCATCCCACGAGAAACGCTCCAACCATTTTGGCGGTTACCTTATTTGTGTCTGAAAACACGCGTGCATACTGACTACATTGAAAATTGTGAACTGCTAGAATATTTTGAAAAAGAAAATAAATTTTGGTTGCTGGCTGCATTCTGAACTTCCTCGAATGTCGTGTGGGTGTAGTTTGTGGAAAATATATTTTAAAAATAACACTCCTTATTTCTATACCAAAATTGATCTGCTAGTTAAGTAAAGCCGCTTGTGTAAAGGGTTTGAAACTCAATAACATTAGTGCAATTTCACTGGCAAATATGGCTCTAAGAATTGAGCCAAAATGTGTTATGTTTGCATTTTCTCTCATTCAATACTGAAGCTTCTATGAAAATCCGAGTGCTGAATAGTAACTCAACAGAAGGTATATTTTGAAGGAAAGAATACTTTTAAGCCTCTTGTTCTGCTAAACATAACGACAAAAAATCACTAATTTCGCAAAATGGTCAATATCGTTCACAATAGGACGCAATTTGCAGCATGTGGTGGTTCAATTGAAAATCGCCTTCATACCTAAATCGAAAGCAGATAAGGAGTTCTTTTATACGGCAAGTCTTATCATCACAATTTTTGTTTAAGGGAAGAAAATATTTTTTTAATTTGCTTACAATGCATGAATGCTGATGAGAACTGCCAGCGCAAGCAACACGAGTTTTCTTACGCTGTACTGCGCGCCATTCATGCCCATTGGTTGTCTGTTTCTGGCATTTTGAAGCTAGTCACTAAAATTTCACTGCTGGAATCAAGTAGTCTGCGTTCATTATTGTTTGTGGTAAGAGATCGCAGCGCAACAGAAAATACCAAACTTCAGATGCAAGTGGTCGCCATTTGCCGAGAGGTGTTTTTCCCAATCGAGCACCGTCTTGAAAATTCCGGAAACTCCGCCAATATCCTCAAGCGCTTCGCATACTCCTTCAGGCACCACAATCCAAAGACAACATGATCACCGTGACATAGATTCCTGCCCACACGGACACAGTCTACCCACGCCTTCCCAAACCTCAACGAGGTCGCCCACTTCCTTGCGTGAGGCCTTGTCATCCACGACCTTCTGGAGACGCGATGGACACCAGGGACAACTTGACTACCTACAATGATCTCGTTAAGAACATTAAGCTTAGACACCGAGACTTTCCCCCACCACACCCCAAGCTCAACCGGGCACAGACCACCACTTTGCGTCTACTTCAAACAAATACGTATCCCTCGCCTGCCCGGCTTCACCTTATATTCCCAGACGTGTAAGCGAACGTGTCCTTCGTGTCCTTCTTATCTCTGTATCGTCGTTCTGTTCTCGCGCTATAAATATCGTGGTGTACACAACCTCCCACGGATGGTGCTGTGGCACTCACCCCGTTACACTTCCGCATATGCCGTAGGAGTGCCCGGCACAGCACAGACCCACTAACACCACGACCCTTCCGTCAAAGCTCTATGAGGCTCTGCGGATCCCCGCTCTTGATGACCGAACCTGGACGACCCAGCAAGCCCACGAGGCAGCGTCCAGGCAAGCCCTTGACGTCCTCTCATGTGAGGCCTACGCCCGGCCACCTAAACATGCCAGTTTATTTTGAAAAAGTTCATTTCTACTCCTCCAGCCCGTAAGCACACCTGAAACAAAATGCTCTTTTTCATCGCTTTGACTCCTAGAGATGTACTGATAACTACCACACATAATAAAAGATTTGCTGGTATTGCTCTTTTACACTAAAATACAAGACACACTAAAATACAAGACCACCCGGAAGACACTATTTCTGTTCTTTACTGGGAACATAGTCGGTTTCAGTTGATTGTGTAGTATCAACAATAGGCGCCAGCTGAAAATCAAAGGAGAAAGTTAACTGAGGTTATTCTTTATTAGCAATTTTTTTAAACAGGCGTCAAAACATAGTTGTTAATGATCAAGTAGTAATATTGTTTTTAATAAGAATAATCATTGATTGGGTTCAAAGTCCCAAAGACCACCTGGGTTTTTTAATGTGTACCTAAACCTAAGCACACGGGCCTCGAATATTTTCGCATCCATCGAAAACTCGGCTGCTGTGGCCGGGATTCAATCCCGCGACTTGCGGATCAGCAGCCGAGTACCTTAGCCATTAGAACACCGTGATGGCTAATAATACATTGATGGGCTTTACCATCCGAAAACGACAATATGTATATGAGAGAGGCTCTAGTGGGGCGCTCCGGCAATTTTACCAATTTGGGTCTATAACGTGCGTCTAAATCAAAGTGAATGGGCCTCAAGCATTTTCGCCTACATCAAAAATACGACATGGATTCGATCCCGCGACCTGTTGATTAACAATTCAGCACCACTACCACAGGAACATTGTGGCCGGTAGTAAAAAAGGCGGTTTCCGTATCACTATGCGCAACTTTTCGTCCACGTAAAGAGTGCAAGTTCAACTGAATGAGATATGTTGCTGAAAATTTGTTTCACATATAAGCAGAATGATTTCGCTCTCTCCCACTGCCTACTCCTTGCTTTTTGCTGGCGCCTTTTACTTGCAACCGTGGTTTAATGATATGAAAGGTGTGAACAGTAACGCAAGAACCTAGTTTTTTAATCAACAATTCTAGCTTGTTTTAGGTAACATATGTGGCTTTTAATATCATATTGATTGTGCAGGATGATTCTCGTGTCAACTGAAATATATAATCAACAAGATTCAGCTACACCAAATGTCTGTTAGCCGCATGAAACATTGCTTGCACAAAGTTCATTTAACTTCCTGATAAAAATTATGGTTACCATGTTTATTGTTGTTATTTTTACGTGAGAACAACCCCACCCATATTTTTTCATGTTGTGAATTTCTTGTTAATGAGTATTTAAATTGGTCTTTCTAAGGTTGTGAGTGTCCTGCATGTTTGCCTGTGTTGCACCTTCATCAATAGACAACACTTAGAAGTTCCATTAGCCGTTGGGGCCTATTAAAGGTATACATAAATATATCGTACCCTCGCATACAATTAAAGTTCGGTGGACGAGCAAATTATTCTTTTCTTTTTAAAATATGCTTTGGTGTGTGTGTGTGTGCGTGCGTACGTGCGTACGTGCGTGTGTGTGTGTGTGTGTGTGTGTGTGTGTGTGTGTGTGTGTGTGTGTGTGTGTGTGTGTGTGTGTGTGTGTGTGTGTAAAAGGAACCTCTGCCTAGTCAAAATTGTCGGAGTGATCAACTCCGGCGAAATCTGCTCCGCCGGGTACAAGTATGACAACCACTGCAGCATTAATCCTGTCACCAAGACACCTTAAAACGCTCGTGCCGAGATTCCTGCCGAAAATCTCCCAGAGTGCCAAAGCCTTGAAAAAATCACGACAAGTTTTCCCGCATGTAGACATTATACACTGTAAAAGTGCCCAGCAACAATATTGTGATAGTAGTATAGCTTAGTTTCTAGGCCATGTCAGTGCGATGCGACAACAAAAAAAAAAGGCGGTAAAGTGGCAGGAAAAGGGAGTTCCACGAAAAATTTCGGGAAAAAAAAGTTGACCTCTCCTCCTTCTCTATGCCACCGTCCTGAACATTCTCTGCTACGGCCGGTATCTGGTGGTATGCTCGATCTTCCCAGAGATATTTCTGAGATGTTAGCATCTTGCATGGAGGATGTGAGCTGGTGGACTAGTGGCCCTATGTAAAAATCCGGTGCAGTGAGATGGTTTAGCCCCTCTAATCCTCAGAAGGAAGGCACTGGTCACCTGCTGATTTGGGGACCATGTGATGAGGTGACGCATAATACTTGATGATGGGCATACTATGCCGATTTCAATAATATACCGAAATACGTGTCTTGCAAGCCATAGCTTTTTTGGTGAAAGGCGCATGGTCCCTCATAGTTTTGTGGTCCAGTGGTTCCTATATGATGCCGAAGATCATATACAAACAGCAGACAGAACAAGGCGGCTCTAAAGGGAGGGCGCAAACATGATTAACCTTGTACCAGTGCATGGCACGCAAGATCCTGAAGCCGTTGGTTCAGAGCCAACCACCGCGGTGCTTTTCAGTCCTAGGAAGTTGCTTCGATTCATTATATTTGTGGGTTGCTCGTTCAGCGCGTTATAAACAAGAAAAAAAATTACATAAACGCGCACGCATGAGTGTACCACGACGGCAGTGCGTCGTCTACTACGAGGGTAAGTCGTGGCGGCACCTGGCAGTATATTCTGTCTCTGCGCACCAGCTTTTGGGCCCACACGCTTCCATAGGGGTGGCACCGGTGAACAGGTCGTAACATTATAGGTGGAGGTCGTGCACGGTAGCCGGTTGTGCAGTCGTGGGGATCTCCATAAACCGGTAAGCAAGCTCGGCCGCAGTTGAGTTTTTCTGCTCTGACGCAGCGGCAGACAGTGAGCCATTGAAATGTAGAATAAAAATATCACCGCCCAAGCCCTCTGAACAAATAGTCAGCCAGCGAAAGCTAGAAAGTGCGGCCCCAGTGTTTAGAAATGGGTATAAGCCGAGGCTCCACTGAAAAGTGACTCAGAAACGTGGCGGTTTTGGCTAGTTGGTATGACATGATGATTGTTATAGTTCGAACGCAGAACGACGCCAAAGAGACAAAAGAAGACGCCATCTTCTTTTGTTCCTTTGCCGTCGTTCTGTTCTCGACTATAACAATCGTCATGACTGCACTGTAGCCATTCACAGTATTGGTTACATGTTCTTGCTTTTTAATGAAGGTAGACACATATTTGATTTGTGTTTACGAAAGGTTCGTTTTATATGCGACAGACTGAAGTCCAAGACGAAGGCAAAGTGCTGCTGGAGAAACTCTTATCGAAGGAGGGCATCGCCCCGGTGAAACCACTCCCACAACATTCACGTTGACGCTATCGTGCTCGCAAGGCCGCTTGCTTGGCGTGCTGTTGTTGCAAGTGTTTCATATCGCGAGCTAACTCAGAGGCATGATTGCAGGATCCACTCACCACCACAAGGGTGGTACAAATGGAACATACAGGGGCGGTATAAATGGTGTTGCCACTCACACTGGCATCCGTATAAACGAGGACAGTAGCGGCATCTAAGTTAACGGTACGAAGCAGTCGGGATACTTGGGCGTTCGGCTAGCGTGAAACTGGGCTTTAAATGCGACTAAAGGGTTTGTTTTCAGTCAGTTCCAATTTGTTCAAGTGGGCAGTAGTGGTCGTCTCTGAAGGTGTGTGGTGAACTTCTTTGCCCATGTACCGCTGCGATGCAGCAGCCGAACAGAACGTTAATGGCTTGAGGTTGCTCTCAAAGCGTCGTTGATTTACGAATTTGTCCATTGTGTGTAGTTGGTATTGCTGTTGAAGTACTGTCAGTGGAGTGACGCGTGGCAGTCCAGTTATGGCGCGCATGACTTCGTTGTTGATCGCTTCTACAAGTACCCACTCTGCCCGCGTGAGGTGATGAAACTGAGCACGGTAAACAAGCCAAGGCTGCAATATCGCACAGACAAGGAGGCGAACGATATTGGAGTTAGCACCACCAGATTTCTTCGCAATCCTTCGTATGAGGTGTATTGCTTCTGATGCCTGCTGCTTGGCACTCTTGAGCATAGGTTCTGCAGATTTGGGGGCGTGAATTTCAAAGCGAAGAACGCGGAGATTTGAGGCTTCATGTAGTGTCTGCTGATCTAAAATTAACTGCAGAGGCTGGTTCCCTGTTTACGACGTCCATACTTCTTCGCAACCGACAGAAAGTTTGTTTTTTCTCTGGAAATTTCGATACCAATCTCGGGGCATCAGTGGTGGGTGATGTTGCGTGTTTTTTAGCAAAGTTCGTTTCAGCGTTCTATGTGCTTTGTCAGAAGGTAGGTCGAGTTAAAGATCCCGTAATTCACTGGCTATAGTCACCAGTAGACTGCTTATGACGTAGTCATATATGGTAAGGTCTCCTGTGATGGGTCGTGCTGCGAACTATGATTCTACTTGCATAAACTGCAGTGTAGAGTATGCGGTCTAAAGAGGGATCGCCTATTGCCAACTGAAGAGGCCCTCGGCGTAGCACCTGTAATGCACATTGAAGAGATAGTCCTGGAATTCGTCATGGACTTCAAAGTCTTAGCGACATTGATGCTTGATGCTGGTGGCTTCCCCAGAAATCTGGTGCATCAGTCGTTGAAACGCGCCGCTAGACCGAGCTAAACAAGCACAAGCGACACGCTTGTCAAACAACAACTAAATATTCATTTCACCTGTGCTCACGAACAAAAGTCCCGTGGTTCCTCGCGCAAGTGTCCTTGGCATTGCTTACGGAAGCGCTGCTTCACGGCACTACTGAAAATCTTGGTGGAACGGAAAAATCACACGATGCAGTGCGCATTGTAGGAGAAATGGTTTTGAAAATAAAACATGAAGAAAAAAAATAAATATATAAAATACTAGGTCAAGCGCGCGCATGCTAAACTTCATTTGCCCCTATTTTTTTTGAAGGGAAACAGATCATATCGCATATTCTGTAAAGTCAGATCTCACAGCTGCTTGTGTTTCTGAATTCACTGACACCTGCATGATGCTCATGGTATTTTGATTCAGAAAACTTGGTAGCCTAAGCTTCAATTTTTTTTAAATATTATTGGAATGCACCACATTGGACGCTGCAGTAGCTGCTCAATTAAGCTCACCGTGTCAAAATACCTTACGAATCTCATCAGTTTTGTGTAGAAGCATACATTACGATATATATTTGGGGCGCATCTGGCTAGTTAAAAGAAAACCATGGTTTCTATGCTGAAGCATGGTAACATTTTTTCTAAGGACCAATTGGAGGCATGCAAGCCTGTTTTAAAAGGGAATGATTCATCTTTAGTAACGCCTAAACCAATTGCCAATAAATTTATCATCACAAAGCATTTGAGTAGGAGCTTTATCTGTAACAGTTAAGGTTGAAAATGTATGGAGAGTGTGCTTTTCGACTGGAGCAAACTATGAGACTACATGTCGCCACTTGCCAAACAACCTACTGGAGCAAACTATGAGACTACATGTCGCCACTTGCCAAACAACCTAAGGATCTATATACGCCGATAAAAGAAATGGTAAAATAAAACAGGGGAACAATAAGTATGTCTTAACAATGAAAAAAATTCCTACAATACACGCGTAATAACCTTCTTAACGGTGCAAACTTTGATGACAAAGTTGATGTCAACTGTATATACAACGTACTACAAAACTTCACATATAATGGATGAGTGGCTTAATGTGTGTGTTTCCACTTTGTAGAAGGCTGTAAAAATTTGGACACTAGAGGCAAACACCTATGCATTATAGAGTTGTCCTTTAGGCAAAATCTTGAATGGCAAACAGATACTCAAAGATTATGTATAACAACTCAATCATGATTATGCACTTTGTATTTCAGCTACAGGTGATAACACGACGCACATATTGAATTATACAACAAAATATTGTGCTGTTATCCATACGCAAACAAGGAATGTAACAGGCGAAGGTAAGCGATAACACTAGCTCAATTATTGTACGATGGTTATGAAAATATGACGTTCGAAGTTCTCAAGCAAACGTTTAATTATTATTTTATTTCTATATTGGCATCAACCTATCGTCCAACACGAAAACTGGCCGTTAATGGCGGCGTAGGATGGTGTCACTTTCAAAAGTAGAGGTGCATAAAGTGTACAAAATTTTTCACGCAGGCATATTATTTAAAAATGGATCATCTCGTCGAAGGAAAACCTGATAGGATGTGATGAAGCAGTCTTGCACACGGGCAACGGCTTGTGTTGAACGGCGCTAACACGGGTGCTGCGGTGAGCGCCGGAAGATTCGTTTGAAGCGATGGCTGGAGTAGGCATTTTACGTGTTATGTACAGCAACGTTTCAACGCGTACGCTAGGCATGCGTCAGGTTTATTGCTCTTGAACCAAGAAGTCGGTGGTGCAGCCAACAGCGAAGCAGCAGGTGTCGCGGCGATACAGACGAGGCGGCAGCTGCGGCCGCCGCAGCGAGTGCGCCACAGGCGAGAGAGAGAAAGAGAGTGACATCATCGCGCTTTGCGTGCAGAGAGTGACGTCAACGTAATGCGTTCGTACGTAATGCGTTCGTGTAATGCGTTCGTACGGAGACACCGTACGAACGCATTACACAGGCTAGTCGAAGAGCTGCAATCAATATAAAAACGTGATTGATCCCGCTGTCACACACTGTAAAAAGTCCAGTATTTGGGGAAGGTTTCTGCTACACAGGAATAATCGTCATCGACTTCGAGTACTGTCCTAGCAGTATCACAACAGTTGCGATAGTTCGCGGTCACGAATAGCATGCGTGTTATCAGTGTGACATCGCACTTCCGGCAGGACAGTGGCTAGCACTGGGTTTCGAAGGAAGGAAACGTGAGAAAGACAGATGACGATTATTTTTGTGTAGAAAAACTACTGTTTGAATACTCCAGTTTTTATAGAGTGCTAGAATTGGTAAAACAAAAGAGTAAAACGTCTCTTTAGGATGCAGGTTACTGAATACTGTACATTGATGTAACAGCGTTCGTGCCGTATTTATTTCTGTTTTACAGCTATAACACCACCTCACGTGCATGCGTCCGCGTTGACGCTTAGTGAAACATCTACATCTTGATTACTAACGTTTATGATAAATGATTATGCAAATCCTTGTGGGTCTTAGATGCTTGACGTAACTTTAGTGATGAATGGTGAGACCAGAACCAGAGAAAGCGACATGGCACCCAGAACAGCATCCCTTATTGGACGCCCTCTTGGGGCTAAGATGACTGCGGCAAGTAGGAGTTATTGAACACGATTTCCCCAGCAGAGGGAAACCCATCACGCGTTGTGTTCTACCTTCGGCCAGGTGTGATTATTCGCTGGGCGAGCGTAAAGCCATAACCGTATGCACGCGGTTTCCTAGCGACACCTACAAGCGGCAGCGACAAACTGCTCCGTCGCACCGTCGCGTCGCAACGGCATCAACCGCATGGCGCTGACAAAGTGTGATTGTTGCTTGAATTAAAATTATCGCATGCGTACTCATCAGTTGCAAATAGTAATTTATAAGTTGATCGATGAAATATGCCGAATTTGTTACTAAATTACCAACTTTTTGTTATAAATAATCCACAAAAGCATTTTACAACCTTTTTTATTGCAATCTTTGGTGACCACGACAGGCCGTAAATAACTCTGTGACATGCTGCCCAGAAGCGTATGTTTCACGGCTACGATGCTCTTTGAACGAAGATTTGGCATTGTAGCAAGCGACCCAATTGTCACAAGCCACTTTAGAGACATCAAAACAAACTTTGGACCACCAGATATAAAGACAAAATACGGCCGATCTCTCACTATCCGCTTGAGTTGAGAATGTAAAAAGATAGTCGATACCTTGCATTCCTTGAAGTACGCGCGAATAAGAAGCATCGAGAGCATATTGCAACCAAAGCGAGGACCACGGGCGTAGCCATGTTGCCGGCAATCGTCACGCTGGCTTCCGAATGACAAGCGAACTTTCCTAGTTTTCGAAAACGCACGACGCGAAAAGCAGTGGTGACGCACTGGCCTCCACGCCAGCAAATCATGTCGCTGTCGCTTGCCGCTGTCACTACAAAATAACGTGCGTTCGGCGAGAGCTTAAGTGGGTAACGCCTAGCTACATCCAAGCAAAACCGGCGCGTTCCAGGCATTGAGCAGCTGTTTGGTATGAATGGATGCTATGAGTGACGCCAACGATAGAGGTTACATTGCCACCTGGGGGCGGGTTAACGGGTTGGCAAAAGTGCAATTCAATTGGATACGCACTGCTTAGGACAGACGCTTAGGAACCACGCATTGAAGGAACAATTTCGAATACCAAAGTGATGGCGTATTACTTAACCTAATTCTAAACGTTGTGATAGAATAATGATAGATATAAAAGGCGTATTTTGTATATCGTAAAAGGTATGTACCAAGCAGCATTAGTTAGCCTGCCCAGCATGTATTGTTGGGGATCCCGGATTCATGGTTTCAACTCCCGTTGACGGAATATTTTTCTTTGTCTACTGATTGTGCTTATTCAGGCAGCGTCATTTCCATGGAGCAAATACTTCACTGAAGTCTTGGTAGACTCTTGCATAAAGCACTTTCGTGTAAAAATCGTCAGCAGATGATAAGGTCAACATGTGACCTTATGATGACGTCGCTGACCACAAAAATTTCGTGATGTCATCATGAAATTTGCTTGAAATGGTTTGCGCTGAGTGATTTGATGACGTAATACAAACTAGCCCAATCCCACACATTTTGACTTTGTCGCAAGACATCATCGGTTCTCCAGGTGTGATGACCGCAGAGGCCTGGCAAAACGAGGTTAAGTACAAATGCATCAATTGACTATCACTATAAAGTCGACTTTGGCGGATAGAAAGAAAGCTTCTGAGCTCTTTTCATATAAATATTACGAAGCAGTTGTTCTAAAGATCACAAAGAATGCAGTAGTGCCATTCACTTACAATCCAAGTTCATCGTTTTTGCCAAAATTCCCGGGGCATTCCCACACCTAATGGAAGAACAGCTGCTATTTTGAATTACTAGAAACAGGCAATTCAGCGTGTCTAAGTTGAGGCATTTTCATTCAGGTGGGGCCACAATACAAACAAGACATTTTTTGCGAACTACAAAGCGACATGAATGAAGTGAACAGACTAAAAAAACCCCAAAATTACACCGGCCAAGAACGTCTACGCACATCCTCCACAGAATGAAACAGAACAGCTATTCTACAAAGAACGGGAACTTTTTTTTTACATATAATCAATCTCATCCAGAACAATACGCCACCCATTGTAAGTTTTACGAACGAAGTGCGGATCTAGATGAGATATTTTGAGCCTGCCCACAGGTTCCCCAACACGGCCGAAGATTGCGGAATAGGAGGCGATTGGAGGCCAGACTGAATATTAAGCCCTTCAGGAAAAACTCATGGCTCCCGCTGCATGGCCGAAGTTACCAATAATGCGCTAGCATTCCTGGCCACGATCCGATTTAACGTTAGTTCACTTCCCACCAATATACCGGAGAGGCTGGCAGCTAGCTGCATTGAATGCAATCTCACGCATTTCTGCAAAACCCTGGTAAAACATGGCCCCGTATCTGCATGTTAGTCTGCAAATGTCGTCGAAACCCGATAGTCTCGCATGTGGAGAGAGTGAAAAAAGCATTTATTTGATTTTCTGCGCAAGAAAATCGGTGAATGGTATTCTGGAGGCGCTGCGTTAGAGTGCATCGAGCGTGCAGTGGAGGCGCACGAGCGCATTAGGTCACATCACACGCGAGACATGAGCGCCATCTGGCAGTTTTCTTGGAAAACAAAGCACTTGGCTCTGAGATGGGCGTGCGTGCCCTTCTCAGAGGTGATAAGGTGTAGAACGCAAGGCGACGGGTAGGTGCCACCACCGTTTCTTCTTAGTAGAACACTGGAAACACTCGCCTTTTTGTGCAGGTGATGCATGGTCAGAGGAGCATGACAAACACTAAGTTCTTTAGAATTACTTATGTTTGCTTTTTCTAATAAAAGACGCACATACAGAATATATACGTGTTGTTATCGTGCCTCAGATATGCGCAATAATTGTTTTTTATTTGACGATAGCACAAGTATGAACGCTGAATTTTGGGCAACGTTGGTGGGCTCTGTGGATCAGGTCAGCCATTTTCCAATATCGGGTTGTGCTGCTTAGAGTACCCTGAACCGTTAAGAGTGGACAAACAGACAGAGCCAAACTCTCAGACCAAAATTGTTGCGTCGAAAGTTTCTAAAACAGACAAACGTCTTGAAAACTATACGGCTGCTTTAGGCATAATTTTCGGACCGTCTCTTCGCAATGATAGCACAGCACGTAGAAGGGCATACGACATGTCTGCAGATGGCTGCTGAGATCACGAGATCAGGCCCGCTTCAGTGATGGTGGCAGCGCACGTACGATGAAATTTCACAGTTGCAGCTCGAGTACCCCCTCTTTCACTCACTCGCGTCTTTTCACAATTGTTAAAGACGGGTGTAATGAAAATATTCTTGATCGGGGCTAAGGCTCGTCAACGCTTGTTTTGCGTGTCTTGCGAGGAGAAACGGACGTTGAGAAAACGCGGTAACAACACACACGACGTTTATGACAGAACACGGAAACTAAACATAGGAAACACTGGGGCAGAAAAGGTACGTACAATGCAACAGAGTGAACTAAGCTTGACTTAAAAACGACCAATCAGTGTTCAAGTAAGAGCGTTCGAAAACCTGAGGGCCAGATCGGCGGTACGACGGACGCCGATGAGGTGCAGGGCAGGAGGCGGTGGAAAGGCGCTGTAGAATGCGCTCACCTGCCGATGTGCGACGCTCTGGTGACGACGGCATTTGACGGCGTGGGTGCGATCACGGAGCAGTCAACCCGCATCGGAGAAGCGATGCTTCATGCGTGTATATGGCCAGCCCGTCCAGCGAACA